AGAAATACCATTTGACCCAGGAATTCCACCCCTATGAATTTATGGTAAGAATGCAGGAGCCCAGTTTGAAAAAGACATAGGCACCCTTACGTTTATTGCTGCTCTATTTACAATAGTCAAGAGATGGAAGCAACCTTAGTGTCTATCAGTAGATGAATGGATAAAGAAGATGTTGTACATATACACAATGGAATATTATTCAGCCATAAGAACAAAACAAATCCTACCATTTGCAACAACATGGATGGAGCTAGAGGGTATTATACTCAGTGAAATAAGTCAGGCAGAGAAAGACAAATACCAAATGATATCCCTCATTTGTGGAGTATAACAATTAAGCAAAACTGAAGGAAGAAAAGAGCAGCAGACTCACAGAACTCAGGAATGGTCTAACAATCACCAAAGGGAAAGAGACTGAGGAGAATGGGTAGGAAGGGAGGTATAAGGGGTAAAAGGGGCATTACGATTAGCACACATAATGTAGCAGGGGTCACAGGGAAGGCAGTACAGCACAGAGAAGACAAGTAGTGATTCTATAGCATCTTACTACACTGATGGACAGTGACTGTAATAGAGTATGTGGTGGGGACTTGATAATGGGGGGAATCTAGGAACCACAATGTTGTTCATATAAGTGTATATTAATAATACCAAAAAAATTAGTATCATCAATACTCACAATTTGCAGAGGCTGTGGGATATAACAATTCTATATTTCCATTTCCTCATATATCACATAATTAAATGAGTTATCTATGACAAGGTGACAAGACATCTTGGTTTACCCAAGACTGATCTGTTTACATTTCCTTCCAGTATAATTTTTAATATAATATTAATCCTTTTCACTGATTTAGATAATTTAGATGATAAATTATAAGGTCACCTCTATTAAGGAGTTAAGATGATGAAAAATATGTTAAAACACCAATTACCAGAACTAACCTACCAAATCCCTTCATGAACAGATTTTTCTTCTAGCATGCTTTTGAGGAAAGGTTCTTACCAAGATTTTAAGAGCCTTCTAAAGTATCAGCTCATAATCAAATCTCTGTGTACTTTTTATTACTATGTTAAAATTCCCAACTGTCACTTTAAAATGAGCTTACATTCAGTATATTACACCAAAACAAGAAAGTATGCATTTTACTGAGATTTTCAACAAAATTTTGAATGGGTAAAAAAGGGAAGGAAACACATAATCCCACTGACTGAGTCAAGTCTTTACTGAACTGTGATAAATAAAGCTCAGATGCTAATACAAAGTTCCATACAGATATTAAGTGAGTAAATTCCAAAGATAATATTTGTGAATTGCCTTTGGTTAACTGATAATGCAAAAGAAGCCATATTATAGCATAATAACCAGCAGTAACTCAACAATATATGAAATAGATTCCTATGATGAAAATAATCAAGTTTATTTCTGGGTGAGAGGTACTTATTATGTCTTTTCAAAGTTTAGGTTCACAGGGGACAGGTTACTCCAGTAAGTTTGTGTATCTAAGTTAACTAGAAAAATATTAATAAAAAAATTAAACTCATCATTCTCATTCTATATTCTTTCCAAGTGAAAGGAAAATAACACTGGGAGACTTCACAATGATACTATTAAAAAGTTTATATTCTTGTAATGCTTTTTGTTCTACTTTATGACACTTAAATTATTTGAAAAACTCTATTACCATATTAGTATTAAATATGACTTTAGCTTCTTTAATATACTGACACTTAGTTATTTTTAAATAAATGGCCTTACCTTGTAGTCAGAGACATCAGGAGAATAATCAGATGTTAGTTCCAAAAGCTAAAAAAGAAGAAAAAGCCCACAAATACACAAGCCTTGCAGCTCCTTTCCCCGACCTCTGAAAAAATGTGCAGCATTGAGGTGCCCACTCCACCATTCTGGGAGCCCTACTTGTGGTGTAGGGCTTCCAGTGGGAAAGGTATGTTTGGTTTTGAGCAGGGTGTCTTTGGTTTGGGGGAACTTTTTTGATGCTATGTATGTATGTACACCCATTTTTATTGAGTACTTGCTATATTCCAGACACCAAGCTGAGCTATTTTTATTCATTAATTAAACAATTACTGGGTACCTACTATATGCTAGGCAGAGAATAGAGAAGATATGATCTGGGAATAATTTATATATATATATATATACAGTTGACTCTTGAACAATGGATATTAACCCCCCTGCCCATGTAGTCAAAAATCCATACATAACTTTTGACTCCCCAAAAACTTAATAGTCTACTGTTGATTAGAAGCCTTACTGATAACATAAGCAGACAATTAAGACAATTATGTATGGTGTATGTATTACACAGTATATTCTTACTGTAAAGTAGGCTAAAAAAAATATTTTTTCAAATGTTAAAATCTCCAAAAAATTTTCCATTGTATTTATTGAAAAATATCTGCATATAAGTGGACCCAGAGTTCAAAACCAATGCTGTTCAAGGATCAACTGTGTGTGTGTGTGTGTGTGTATGCACACATATATATTTGCCCTGCTAATGACTAAGTTTGTTTGGATGGAAGATAATCTTTTTTGTTGTAATTGTTGTTTTAAAAATATACCTTAAATGCAATCTTTTCTCCAACTTGAGGAGCAGCTGCTAACAGCGGTAACAGACTGTAGTCCTTTTTGTGTGTCTCAACTGGATTCTGAAAAACAGTATTAGCCATGGGACTTTGTTACTGATGGAAAACGTGAACCCATCACATCAACTCCAGACACACCACCATGGAAAAGGAAGGAGGTAAACTCACAATAAATACTTGCCTGAATAATAGTAGATGTGTTTGTTACCATATCGTTTAATTGCTGCTGCTTCTGAAATTCAGCGTTTCTATTTAAAGCTGAGGAAAGAGCATGTGCCCGTCCTCGACCTCTCCCCCGCATGCCCCGACCCCTAGCTCCCTTCCAAGAAAGAAGGTTCTCTCCTCTGCCCCAACCTCTTCCCAAACTGGTGGGGAGAGTCACATTGGGAGGACCAGGAGCCTGTCTGCCACCCTTTGAGTCAGAGTACTTCCATCCAGCAGTATTTGGAGGCTGTGATGACGGCCCTGGGCCTGGGCAGCCTGTGAAGAGGCCTACTGTCTTTCGGAAATCTGCAGCACGCTCCAGGGCGCTCTTTAACGTCACACATTGGTCGTCTGATTCTGAACTAGAAGATGATGTTCTGGTTGTCTGGCCCTTGATGGCAGTAGCATTAAAGTCAGTTTTTGTAGCCCCTTTGTTTGCAGTTGTGTTTTTTGTAGAGAGTCCTTCCTTTGATAACTCTGCTGATACTTTCTCTGAGGAATTTCCAACCTCCACAGTGACACTGCTGAGCCCATCACTGGTGGACTCATGATTAGACTCAGACTCTGAGGAGTAACTGGGACTATCTTTTACATGAATGCCCACACCAACTTTCTTTCTGGCTTTAACAAAGCTGTTTCTAGCAGGGGAACCTTTTGAGGAACTACAGTTCTGGGCAGCCCATTCTTTCACTGTCTGTGATTTAGAAGACTTGGGATTCTTTGTCTGTTTTTTATATCCACATTTCTCCTTTTTCTTGGGTGCCTTTCTTTTGGTCGCTTCTTCACCATCCACTACATTCCACGCAGCTTTGCTTTTCCTCTTGTTTTTTTTCCTTACACTCTGATGTGTGACAACTTTTGGTTCTAGATCCAACATTGTCTCACTGTTGTTCTCTTGACTCTTCCAATGCTTCTTTGAATTTCTGTAACCTAATTCAGCCTCTTCATCTTCCTCCAACTCAAATGCCCGCTTCTTTGCTTTTCTAGGTAATAAATGAGTACTGTCACCATTACTGACTCCCACAGGATTCTCAGCAACTCTTTGCTCTTCTAATTTAACTCTATCAAAAGAATGAGAGAGAGCCAGAATGAGTAATTCACAGGCATGTCTCCAAGATGTAGTTATGTGCTATGATGACTATAAATGGTCAGTGCCATTAGTCAATGAAAAAAATGTCCAACCACTTAAGGCCAAAAGTTTGTAACAAAATGGTCAATATGGCATCATTTATGGTCAACTTTCAAATGAATGATTTGATTGACTACTGTGTTCCAAACATTTTCTACATATTTTCTCTCATCTCAACATCACCATGAAGTACCTTTCATTTGAAAACATCACAAAATTATAGTTCAGACAAGTAACTTGCTCAAGATCCACAGCTAGTAAATGCAGATATGGGATTCAAACCTCAGTGTCTCATTTCAAAGTTCATAATCTTTCCATTATATTATGTTGCCTATCCCAAGCAGTGATAATGCTAAGCATCCATTTTTATTTTTAAATGTGCACTACTCTTGTAATATCATATTTTATTTTTATTTTGTTTAAACTTAGGAAAATACTGAACAATTTACGTTCTCTGGAGTGGTGACAGCCATCATAAAATTCCATGACATTTTGTGATTATTAATTTTATGTGTCAAAACCTGATTAGGCCATGGGGTACCCAAATATTTGCTTAAAAATTGTTCTGGGTGTGTCTGTGAGGGTGTTTCTGGATGATATTAACCTTTGAATTGATAGACTTCGTAAAGCAGGCTGCCTGCCCCACAGCGAATGGGCCTCACCCTGTCCATTGAAGCCTGAATGAAGAAAATGGCTGAACAAAGGAGAATTCCCTCCCTATGGCTGACTGTCTTTGGGCTGAGACTTCAGTCTTTTCCTTCCTTCAGACTTAGACTAGGACTGGAATTTACGCTATCAACTCTCCCGGTTCTCAAGCTTTTGGACTTGGTTTGGAATTATATTACTGGCTCTCCAAGGCCTTCAGGTTGCCAACAGATGTTAGGACCTTTCAGCCTCCATCATCACATGAGTCAGTTCCTTATAATAAATCTCATATCTGTATCTAAAACTACATCTATACATCTATGTCTATACTACATCCTGTTGCTTCTGTTTCTCTAGAGAACCCTGGCTAATACATGTTTCAGACAAAATTATATCAGGAATTTTGGAATTCTGTTCCCCCATAAACTGGCAGCTGGCTATTTCTAATAAGTTCAGACCTATGATGGAAAGCTGAGAGTCTCCCCAATGTCAAGCACAGTGGGTGCATAAAAAAGCTTGCTAAAAAAATGAACAAATGGAACTACATTAAACTAAAAAGCTTCTGTACAGCAAAGGACACTATCAGCAGAACAAAAAGGCATCCCACATTATGGGAGAATACATTTGTAAATGACATCTCCGACAAGGGGTTAACATCCAAAATATATAAAGAACTCACATACCTCAACACCCAAAAAGCAAATAACCTGATTAAAAATGGACAAAGGATATAAAGAAGAAATTCAGATGGCTAACAGACACATGAAAAGATGTTCCACATTGCTAATTATCAGGGAAATGTAAATTAAAACCGCAATGAGGTATCATATCACCTCACACCAGTTAGGATGGCCAACATCAAAAACTAGGAACAACAAATGTTGGTGAGGATGTGGAGAAAGGAGAACCCTCCTACACTGCTGGTAGGAATGAAAACTATTTCAACCATTGTGGAAAGCAATATGGAGGTTCCTCAAAAAACTAAAAATAGAAATACCATTCCACCCAGGAATTCCACTCCTTGGAATTTACCCAAAGGAAACAAGATCTCAGATTCAAAAAGACATATGCACCCCTATGTTTACTGCAGCACTACTTACAATAGCCAAGATATGAAAGCAACCTAAGTGTTCATCAATAGATGAATGGATAAAGAAGATGTGATACATATACACAATGGAATACTATTCAGCCATAAGAAAGAAACAAATCCTACCATTTACAACAACATGGATGGAGCTAGAGGGTATTATGCTCAGTGAAATAAGTCAGGCAGAGAAAGACAAATACCAAATGATTTCCCTCATTTGTGGAGTATAACAATGAAGCAAAACTGAAGGAAAAAAACAGCAGCAGACTCAGACTAGCAGTTACCAAAGGGGAGGGTCGGGAAGGGCAGGTTGGGAGGGAGGGAGAAGTAGATTGTGGGGTAACATGATTGGTGCACATGGTGTGGGGGTGTCATGGGCAAGACAGTGTAGCTCAGAGAAGACAAATAGGGACTCTGTGACATCTTACTATGCTGACGGACAGTGACTGCAATGGGGTATGGGGGACTCAATAATAAGGGTGAATGTAGTAACCACATTGTTTTTCTTGTGAAACCTTCATAAGTGTGTATCAATGATACCTTAATTTAAAAAATTAAAAAATTAAAAAAATGTATGCCAGTAATTAGGAAAAAAAGTACAATTAGTGAATAAGAAGATACAAGTACTCTTTCAAAATGTTTAAGGTGTAATAGCCATATGGATTTATCTCAATGTGGTAGTCAAAAAAAATCCTTAATTATTCTTCAGAATACACAAATACACACATACAAATCAAGGTAAAATAAAAGCTACCAACAGCACAGTTCAATTAAGAGAAAAATAAGCTCTGAAAAATCAGGGGTTTAAATTATAAAAACATATTACCTGTATTCCCAGCTGTGGACCTCGGCACATAGCAGCACGGAAGTAATTCTTTTTTTTCCTTTTTTTAGGTTATTATGAAAGGCAAGTTTAATGCATACAACACCTTCATCTCATTTCAGAGATAATTTCTTTAAATGTTTCTATTTGCTTACCTCTGTTACCTCCATTGCTCTAAATAACATGAACACACATGTATTGATTTATTAAATTTAGACAATGTCTGACTCTCTAAAATGAAAAATAAGGATTTAGCTCACCTCCAGTCCCCCCTACTTTTCCTTTGCCATATTTCATAGTTTAATTTTAGTTCTTCCACTGATTACATTTTCCAAAATGTTATGACACTTTTCAAACATACATAGAAGTTAAAAGAATTTACAATGAATTTACAGCGATATTCATATCACTTAGATTCTGTAATCAGCATTACTATACTTCTCTTATGACATATCTATCCATTCATCCATGCCTATAACTATCAATCTGTCTTATTTTTTGGTGTTTCAAAAGAAGTTGAGACATCAGTATGCTCTACCTCCAAACACATCTGCATATAATTTGATACAGATTTTAATACCTGTTTATAGTTCTCTTTTTATTTCTCCTTTTGACATTAAATTTACATAAAGTAATTCTTAACTGGCAAGAGCTAGTTTGGCATTCAGTAAACCTAAGAACTATTGGGAAACTTGCAGAATATGGTGCTGGTCCTTGACATTCTTGATCAATTTGTTTTTAACTTGTAGCAATGTTATGATTCAAGTTTCCATTCTGAGACAACCAATATTAGGACCAAACTTTCCATTAAATTTTGAAAATGGTTATAAGACCCTCTGTTCAGTCATTGTGGTTTATTAAATCACTGGAATGCAGGATGTGCTGCACCCAATATACACAGAACCCTGCCTTTCAGAATAGCTTGGAACACCACCACGCTTTCAAATGCAACCCTTGGCATCATCTCACCCATTCTGAAGACACTGGCCCTGTGGATATTTGGCATGGAGGTAAGACCTGTGATTGCTGAAGCCTCACTATCTGCTATTCTAGAAGAGAATAATTTCGGTTTGGAATATACCAAGATTGAGAGACAAATGCCATGTGGAGAACAAGAAATGGTTCACCTGTGCCTGCTCTGCCTTCCCTTTCAGAGTGTATACATTCCCTGGCAATGTTCTTCATTTCTCTACTTGGATCACAGACAACAAATGTAGCTTTCTTTTTACAAAAAGATGTGAGTTACCTGTGTGATTAGCGATGAGAGAGATTTGATTACAAGAAATTTTTAAACAGACTCTCCACTGTTTACACAAACTCTTGGCAGGGCAACTTGAGTGGTATTATCAAAATAACATGGTAATTCCTTTAAACCTTCAATTTTACTTCTAGGATGCTATCAAAAGAAATACAGACTATATGCACACTGAGAACTCCCACCTACCGCCTGCCAAGGCCAAAGTGACTGTCTGGGTTCAAATCCTTTCTCTCACTTCAATTAAATTTTTAAATTATCATTACCTCAGCCTTTTTCATCTGTAAAAATGGGTAGTGATAATGAGTATAGTACTCAAATGAGCTATCATATATTCACAGCAGTGCCAGGCTTAGAACAAGTGCTACCCAAATGTTAGCTCTAATTTTTATTAATACAATGAATTATGTCCCCCCAGACTTTACCCAGTGATAAAATTAAGATGAGACCATTAAAGTGGGTCCCAATCCAATCTGACTGGTATCCTGGTAAGAGAGGAAATTTGGACACACAGAGACACCAGGAATGCTTGCGTACAGAGGAAAGGTCATGCGAGACACATTGGGAAGGGCACCATCTACAACCTCAGAAAAAAACAAAATTTGTCAACATCTTAATCGTAGACTCCTGGCCTCCAGAGCTGTGAGAAAGAAATTTCTGTTGTTTCAGTCACCCCATGTCTGTGGTATGCTGTTACAGCGACCCTAGCAAACAATTAAAGGGGCTCCAAGCAAATGGGAGCATTTCTTCCTCTCAGGAGAGTTGGGACATCCGTCAAGAACCCACTGTCAGCAACTTAGGAGCAGAGAAAATCAGATGCTGGGGGCTAAGGAGAATACGCTATGGGGAAATGGCCAGGCCAGCCAGGCATGGAGCTTACCTCTCCAGCTTCTGGGGTCATTTCTCAGTACTCCGACAACCTGACTCCCCCTTTCTCATTACACTTTTGTCAATACTCCCAGCAAACCCAACAGAATCCTTTTGTTCATCAGACTTGTTGCTTTGCCAAGTCAGGCTAGCTTTTGCCTCCACAACTATACTGGAGCATCCAACCTTTCCAACCTCTCCTTCCAAGTACTCCGAAGTTCCCTGGCCACCTGTGTTCCATGGTGACCTCTCCTTTCTCAACCAAATTCTGCACTTAGCATCGTAACCTGGCATAATTAGTCAGCCTGACTGCCTGCATCACACAAGAAGATAATATACAGAAGCACAAAGCTACTTATTTTGGTCTGCTCCAACAGTGTCAGGTACATTTGAGAAAAGAGACTTTTCTTCTGTAGCTCTACGGAAAGTGAGGCAGGGGAAGACAGAATGACTGGCAACATGAAACCGCAAAAACACAAAACAATTTTACAATTTCAATTGTTTCCTAAGGTTTGGCCCATTTACCACTGTAGCCAGCTACAGAAGTATTTCTTTCCATATGCAATTGTGCATTTGACTCATTTAGTAGAAATTCTTCCTGCCAAGTTGCTGTATTTTTTTCTTTTACCAGTTTTCACAGTTTGCTTTTGACATTAACTTCATTATAAAGAGTTACAATCCTCAAGCAATTCATTAACTTAAGTATAACTGCAGTATGCTGACAGCTAGCTAGTCACAAGTTATTAATTCACTGCGCAGGGGACAATTCAGAAAGTAAACTTAAGGGCAGCTAAAAAAAAAACTAAACTTCATAGGAGAGGCTGCATTCCTCACAACTGCAATATTTAAATAGTCCCTGAACTGCAGAGAGAGGGGAGATTTAGTCACAGAGGATGAAAAGGAGAAAGAACTATTTCTGAAATTTGGACTACTTCAAATTGTTATTAGAAGCAGCTAAACATTATTAATAAATCGTAGTATTCCTGATTTTAAGAGACACACACACAGTCAAAGATGTAGTAATTGTTCCAAATTAAAAGTCCCTAATGTTCTGAAGAAACCTTACGATCTAGGGAAAAGAATATTCAACAAAGTGCAAGCAAGAGGAAGTAGTCTGCCAGTTCACAACTCGAATTTATCCACTGTAGCTGGAGCTTTAAAAAGAAGTCCTAAGTATATCAACTATATTTTAATCTAAAAAATAAAGGAAGAGATCTGAAAAATAAAATAAAAAGAAGTCTTGAATAAATCAATCTAATATGAGTCCAAACTGAAGTGATCATATTTTACCATTTTATTGAGACAAATCAACCATACATGAGCAATTCTTACCACACCTGCTCCTCGATACACATCTCGAATCATTTAAAAAATATTCCAAGAGCAAGTGATGGACTCAAACTTGCTTTTGTTGAACTCAGAAATATTTACACCCTTAGATTGGTTATTTTAAGTTTAAAATGGTCACCCTTTACCTGATTTGACAGTGAATTAATTACCTTATATAGTGACATTTCCAACTATATTTTTATATAGTTACCATGTGAATTTACTGAATTCACAGATAGGGCTCTGGAACAGAGACGCGGATATGAATGGTATCTTGGTTAACTGAAGACAGCAGCAAATGAAATATATGAAAATGACCTTGATATGAGTAAGACATTTATTGCTGTTATATATAATTGGGCACATGTTCTTATACCCCAAGAGATCCCAAACACCTATTTAAGTGAACCACAAAACGCCCATGTGAAACACAGAATGACACCCACCAGAAGTCCCAGGAAATACTGCAGCAGCACTGTTAGAAAAGCTGCACCTTTATGAAAAAAACATGACAGCCCTCTGTTTGCTTGGGTCTCCTGCACCTGACCCTGCAGTGCCTGGCTAAGTGAGCATTTGCTAAATCAAAGCTCAAATAAACACGGGCCCTGCTCACACAAGATCTGGGTTTTTCCACCTTTGGTCCACCAACCACCTGCATCAGAAGCATTCTGGTATCAGATGCTCGCTCCAGTGTAGATTCCTGAGCTCCACAGCCGACTAGACCAATCAGAATCTCCGAGGTTCACTTCTGTGCAGTTTGACATCCCCACCCCATCCCCGCGCCGGCCCCCACGGACCCCGGTTTCCGGAGGCCCGCCGCCTCACCCGGCCCGCGCGCACCTGAGGCAGTCGTTGTCTCGCACCAGGCGCGCGCTCTCGGTGGGGGGCAAGAGCCCCCCCTCCAAATAGAGGCCCAAGAGGGCCCCAGAACTGAAGCCGAAGCGCTGGCGGATGAGACTGATGAGATCCGTGACTACTCGGCATCTGTTCAGGTCGACCAGAAGCCAGAAGGCCGTGCAGTGCGGAGTGGCTGGTGGTGGATAATCAAACTGAAGCCGCAGCCTGACCGTCTCGGAGGCTGCCATCTTGCTCCTCGCTCAGCGGAAGTCGCGAGGCACCACAGAGCTTCAGAGACGCGCGCTCCGCCGGCCCGCCCCCTGGAACCTTTAACGTGTGCCACCTATTGGTAGCAAGTGGCTACTACAGGCTTAGTGAAGGGCAAGAACGCGGAGCGGGGATGGTTCGGTTCTGTTGACAGGGCTAGGGAAAGTATAGTACAGATGCAAGGGCTTCATCCCTTTCCTCCTGAGCGCTGCGTAGGATCGGTAACTGTATGGATAAACAAGCAATTCTCACCAGTGGTCTTCTAAGATACGTGCTCACATACATAAAAGAATGTGAAAAATCAGTAACTCCCAATATACTTAGTTGACAAAATTTTTCATCATAAGCGGTTGGAAGTGAGGGTGGAGGGACAGACGAAATAGGTGAAGGAGATAAAGAGATACAAATTTCCAATTATAAAATAAGTTATGGGGATGAAATGTACAACTTAGGGGATACAGTAAAAAATATTATAATACCTTTGTATGGTGACACACAGTACACTTATCATGATGAGCATTTTGTAATATATATTGTCGAACCACTGTTGTATACCTGAAACCAATATAATATTTAATGTCAACTATGCTTTGACAAAAAAATTATCTTTAAAAAAGTCGGAAAAGATGTAATTCCTAGTGTATTGTAAATATCGATATTTTATAATCACTTTTTTAAATGTATCCAGTGGAATATCTTAGTAGTTTAATACCACCACTAGCCATAAAATAAAATTTAAAAATAAGCCTCTAGGTAAATAAGTCAGAAATTTTACATCATTAAAATTCCATTTCATTCTCCCTCATAAGAATTTTTTTTAGTTTTCCTTAAAAAGATATGAATTATGAACTATTATTCCCATTTTGATGATTTTTAAAAAGCCCAAAGTTCAGAGAGGTTGAGTAACTTCCCCAGGTCAGTGGACTAGTAAGTAGCTAATACTTTGTAGTCAATAGATACACTGAAAAAAAATTTTTTTTCTGTTATTTTCCTGAGACCCTAATGCTCTAGGTCTTCTGATTGAGTTATCATTACTATTATTAGTGGTACACAATTGATCAAAATAACATAAAACATCACACATTTTGTTACATAATTAGCAAATAGGGAAAATAAAATAGACATGGAAACATATCTATTTATGAAATACATGGAGCTTTGTGTGTGTGTGTTTGTGTATGTGTAGTGAATCAAAGTCCGTTGGTGAACATTGCTAAATGATACGGGGGTCCACATCAATTATGGACCTACTTGTGTTTTTATAGATATAAAGTCCTGAGAAAACATGTTCCTTTATATAAGTACATAAGAATGGAAGGACTTATTTTATTGGCAATGTTAGTCAATTCCTTAAACTCCTTCCAAGTAACATGCTAAAATCACCTAAAGAGCGTTCTTTAAAAAAAATTATTTTCAGTACTCCATCAGCCACCAATTCAGGTAGGATCAATAATTACCCAGTCATTAGAGTCATTCACTTTCTCAATATCTGGGAAAGCTCTATTAAAACTTAAGTGATTACACCACTTGCTCAGGTTTATGGAGCTAAAGTTAGATGAAACTGGGGTGAAAATGACAATTCCATAAAAAGGATTGTATATTCATGGCAGATGGCCAGAGAGACAGACATTTATGAACTATTATATCCAGATGTACTAGCAATTTAATCTGGTAGATGAAATCAATTATCTTATAAATAAGCAACTGATGGAACTGAAAGGGCATAAGAAATCTAAGAGGAGTTAATAAAATGAAGCAGTTTTTTCAAGTTCAGGATACTAGATTTTTGTGTATCAATAGTCATTGTTGTGTGCATTATTTACAGCAGAATCCACTACATTTTCCCCTAAAGTTAACATAAATTAAAAAATATCTGGTAGAAACAAATAAGCAAGTATAGTAGCAGGTGCTAGTGAGGCTGTGTAGATGGGGCAGAAGGGAGAAAAAGATACATTTCTTTTGGGAGAATAGAAACACAGGCACATTCTCGGGTAGGTCTAGGAAGGAATCTAAGTGAGAAAAGGAGATCTGGAACTAAATTCTCTTAAAACCACACAGGCCTGTGTTCAGGAAGTGCTCAAGCCGATTTGAGTACTCCTCAGGGTCTGTCTATCCCCAGTCTGAAAACGCTTCTCCAAAACATGGAAAGTTACCTAAGCAGTGGATAGCTTCTCAGTGCTTGCCTGTCTATTTTTTGTTTCCTTTCTGCAAATAAGTAAAATACTCCCATTTCCCCTACTATGGTTACCTCAAGTGAGGAAAAAACAGTGAATCTAAACTATAAATCCAAGAGTCAGATCTAATGTGATTAAATTGGATCTAATTTAAGAATCAAAGTGCTAACATTACATTAATAAGGCTGAGTAGTAGGTTCCTAATTCTGTGTGCTTATTTATTTTGTAATGTTCATGATTGCAAAAATCGGTGGAGAGGATTTTTCTTGGGGGAGGGGAGTCAAGACCCATTTAGGGTCTAAGAGGTCTCTATAGGGTCATTTGGCAATATTTGTCTAAATTATAAATCCATGTATTCTTTGACCCAGCAGTTCCAAGTCTAATCACTTACTCTACAAATAGACTAAGACTATGTGCAAATAATCCTGTGCAATGTTTATTGAAACATTGTGATAGCAAACAACAAGAAACAAAGTAAATGTCCATCAACATGGATTTAACTGAATAAAATTAGTGTACATCCATAGAACACTATATGGAATTCCACCGTATGAATGTATCATTTATTCAATTAATCCCTATGAAGTACTTCCAAATACATTATCATGGAATGGTGTCTAGGATATGATATAAAGAGCAAGAAGCAGATCAATTTATATTGTATGCTTCTCTTTGCTTTCTTCTTTTAAATTAAACCTTTTAATATGAGATAATTATACATTCATATGCAGTTGTAGAAAATAATACAGAGAGATCCCAGGTACTCTTTACCCAATTTCCCCCTGTGAAACCAGGATATTGACATTGATGAGTCTCAAAATACAGAATAATTCCATCATCACCATTATCTTTTCTGTTGCTCTGTTATAGAACCCCCCCTCCACTGTTTTCCATTTCTCTAATTTTGTCATTTCAAGAATGTTATATGGGTGAAATCATAAAGTATGTAACCCTTGGCATTGGCTTTCTTCCCTCAGCAACCTGGAGATTCATCCAGGTCGGTGTGTATATCAATGATTCGTTTCATGGCATTTTAAGCATTCACCTGTTGAAGGATATAAGGACAGTTGCCAGTTTAGAGCTATGACAAATAAAGCTGACATAAACATTTATTTACAGGTTTTTATGTGAATGCAAGTTCTCATTTCTCTGGGATAAATGCCCAGGATTGCAATTGCTGGGTCATATGATAGCTACATGTTTAGTTTTGTAAGAAATTGCTAAACTGTTTTCCAGAATGGCTGTACCCTTTTGCATTCCCACTAGCAATGTACGAAGTGATCCAATTTCTCCATATCCTTGGCATTGCTGATATTTTTTATTTTAGTCATTCTGAAGGGGTATGTAGTGATATTTCACTGTGGTATTAATCTGCATTTCTTTAATGTCTAATACTGTTGAGTATCTTTCTGTGTCTTTGCCTGTTATCTTCTTTAGTGAAATTTCTCTTCCAGTCTCTTATCCATGTTGTACTTGGGTTTCTTGCTTCTTTTTAATTTTATGGGTCATGCTCTTAGTCTCAAATCAAATAACTCTTCGCCTAGCACTGTATTCCAAATTTTCTACTTCGCCATCCCCCAATGTTTTATGCTTTGTATTTATGACAATGGTCCATTTTGAGTTAATTTTTGGATAAGGTGTGAGACTTACTGCAAGGTTTATTTTCTTTGCTGCTGGATATCCAGTTACTTCAGCACCGTTGTTGAAAAGTCTATGTTTCCTCCATTGAATTGCTTTTGCACCTTTGTAAAAATCAGTTAGGCATATTTGTGCAGATTTATTTCTGTTCTCTGTGACCACACAGTCCTCATCACTGTAGTTATACAGTAAGTCTAAAAATCACACAATGAATTCTATCCACTTTGTTTGTGCTTTATCAAAATTGTTTTAGCTATTCTAGTTCTTTTACCTTTACTCTAGTTCCTGAATATCCATCTATATATTTAATTTTTTGTGGGAGGACTAATTGCTATCTTTACTATGTTGAGCCTTCCAATCTTTGAGCATGGTATGAACTGTCCATTTACATGGATCTTTGATTTCTTTCATCAGCATTGTGTGGTTTTCAGCATATAAATCCTATACATGTGTTATTAGATTTATACCTACTTTTTAAAGCAATTGTAAATGAAATTATATTTTGGTGTGCATGTGTTCCCTATTATATGGAACTACAATTCATTTTTAATATGTTTATCTCATATCCTGCAACCTTACTGAACTAAATTATTAATTCTAGAAGGGTTTTTGGTGTGCATTGATTCCTTGGGATTCTCTATGTAGGCAATCATGTCATCTGTAAATAAGGATAGTTTTATTTATTCACTTCCAGTCTGTATGCCTTTTCTTTCCTCTTCTTGCCTGGCTAGAAGTTCTAGCATTATATTGAAAAAGAGAGGATATACTTGCCTTGTCCCCAATTTTAGGAGGAAAGCATTCCATCTTTCACCATTAAGTTTATGTTAGCAGAAGGGTTTATAAATGTTCCTTATCAAACTGAGGAAATTCCCTTCCAGACCTATTTTTTGAAAGTTTTATCATGTATGTATGGATGTTTAATTTTGTCAATGCTTTTTCTGATTCGATTTATATGATCAAATGATTTTTTTATCCTGTTAATATGATGGATAGATTTTTGCATATTGAACCAGTCTTACATTGTTACAATAAATCCTATTTTGTCATGGTAAATAATTATTTTCATATAATTCTGTTTAAGAAGAAAGAGAGAAAGAGAGAGAGAAGGAAAAAAGGAATGGAAGAGGGGAGGAGGCGAGGGGAGGATGGAGGAGGGGAGGAGGGGAGGAGGGGAAGATGGAGGAGGGGAGGA